CATTATTTGATTACGCGCAAGCTCTATGTTCCAATACAATTTCGATATTCGGCTTCTAAAACTGATTTTGGGTTTAAATCTTCCAACACTATCCTAAAACTTCTCTCGGAAGAATCAAACACATCGGCTAGTGTTGCATAAAAGTATACTTTCTCTTTTTCGCCCTTCTCTTCGGTAGATGTATATACATTAATTAATATAATTTCAACATTATCTGATTTTTAGAGTTAATTTTGAGAACCTTTCGTTAATATCTTTGAAGTCCTTTAGTGCATGGATGATTTACTCGTGTACAGCGAAGTCAGTCGTCCCTAAACTGTGGCCATGTTCGCACTTACCATTAAATATGTTTATTTTCAACACTTTAGTTGTCCCGACATCTTCCAGTCTAACGTCTTATAAGGCTACGCATTTTATTCTATATTTCTCCATTTCCCTTGCTAAATCCAATACCGTTCCAGGTTTGTTCAGGGTTCTAACATTGAATGTACTACATAATAATGCCAATTTCCGATTTCCAGTCTTATTCCCATAATCTTTAGTCCGATGCTTGGTGTGTGAATCCTGAACAAACAATTTTTTTTACAAGGCAGGGTTGTCAGCCTTGCGCTTAACCCCCAACTCGGAGGACCAGACTACCCCAACCAATGAAGATCATAGTAGAGCTATTGTAATGTAACCTAAGTGAATTGGGTGATGCGGGTACCACTTTCTCTATGCTTACATTATTCATTCAAATTCGAAAATAAAATATATTTCGTCAAAGACATTTGCAGTACAATTTGTAATCATAATGCTGAATCCAAATTTTTTAATTGGTACTAATCATTTTAAATATTTCAATGGCAACTAATTATGCTGGTATCGGATATCATATTATTTAAAAGATGTTTGCCCTTTGGTAATATTTGTAACCTCTTAAATCCTCATTGAACTAAATATTATTAAATAATTAATAGACAACAGTTTTCAAATAATTATTATTCATCTAATAAACTCGTATTTATAGTTTAATGATTGTTAAGGAGCGATACACTCACTACATTATTAGTGTACGTTCACTGCTGTAGGACGGATGAGTACAGTGTAATTAGAAATTCGATGTCTAGTCTAATATAATACAGACAATTTATTACTTTAATTATGTAATAAACGTTGCTCAATACTGGGGTAAATTAATTATAGTAAAGAATGATAACGTTGTATAAAAAAAATGCCAAAAATATTTATTATTATATCACTCGTATTTTATAAACAATTAGTAAAAATGCATCGATAGTGACCATTGTTAGTGGATTTTTCTTACACTGTAACAGATAAGGTACCATAAATTCTATCTATAAATCGATAAAAATAAAAAAATTAAGTATATAAATTGATTGAAATTAGCTGAATACCTAAATAATCAAAAAAAGTTGTTCTTTTTATTTTTACGATTATAGAATGAGTTTTTTTTTTTTGAAATTTTTGAAAAGTGCAACAAATGTGTTTTGAATACTTTGATAATTTACTATTCATTTCTTTAAGATGGTCAAAAAATGCGACGTATCTTTATATTACTCTTCCATCACTTACAATTTGAAAATAGTATTACAACTAAATCTACGCGGAACATCCGGTGTCTATAAACATCAGATAAACATTAGTTTGAAAAAGATACTTTTAAAAAGTATTTTGAGTGAAACACAGATATTATTTATAAATTTACTTAGAATAGGTATTTGAGTTGGTAATTCGCTAAAAAAATATTTGAGTAAAATTATTTTTGACAAGTTATTTTAGAAAACCGACAGAGAAATTATAATTTTTCTTGTTTTTAACGAATTTAATCATACATTTGAATTTTAGATTAGGAGTGTAGCGAAGGATCTATTGGTTTTACTATGTGTTTTTTCTTTTTTATATTAGATTCAGATTGTAGTGAAAGATCTATTGATTTTACTATGGTGTATATTATGGTAATTTTTTTTTTTGTGAACAACTTTACTACCAAAAATCTTGCTCCGAATTATCAAGTGTAGCACTTTACCTTAATTGTCTCTAGTTGGTGTATTGGGAGGTCATTTTTTAATTTTCTAAGGTTTTTTCAAAATAATTAGGAAAACGACAAACATTTACAGAGCGCCACGGCATTAACGTTTCCATTGTTTTTAATTTATTTACATGATGTTTTCTGCTAGAAATATTGCTCCAATATTTATAATATAAGAAAATAACAAGAGATCGATTTTGTTCTTTTTAATAAATAGCCACTGACAAAGAAAGTAGTTATTTTATATTTAAAGAACCTATGTTTTATAATTATTGAGAAAAATCAATTTTCAATGTTTTCTTGATATTTTAGTACTTATAATTTTTGGATTCATATAGTATTGTAAATTAATATTATGTGTCATGATTTTGATTGTACGGGTTTATTGATCGGAATATTGTTCTTGTATTATTTGATGAAATGTAATGTTAAAATTTACTGATGAATCAGATTTAGTTTTTTCAGAATTATGCAAGAGATATGAAATATTTGGTATTTAATATTGACCTTGTTATATTATTATTTAGCTCTTTACAAGTAAATCGTTTTTATGTAATTTTTTTTTTATTAACTATACATTTTGATAATATAAAATTGAATGTTATGTGTCTTATAATATTTGCTTGTATACATTTTTCTAATTAATTATTCAATTTTTGACTTTACATGGGATTAAATCTATTTGGCGAAATAAGTTTTAATTCAACGTAATTAAGTTTTATTTTTATTTGACAAGGTTTAAAATTAGCTGGTTTAATTTTAGTCATGTTATAGAAAGAAATGTGTATAATATATGGGTTTAAATATTTTAATGACATCATGTTGTTCAATAGTTGAACAATCAAATTTGGAAATTTGTGTTTCTTCACCGTTAAATATTATTTCATTCTCATATGTGTTAATTGTATTTATGGGCAGGCATTCTGGTTTATTATATTTCGTATTAAGCATGTATTTTTTAATTTCATCTTTTATAATATTATCTTAAAATTTATTATAATTGGGCGTGTGCTTTATTGTCCCCGGAATTCTGTTTGACGGTTTAATTTGGTTGTTTTTTTATTAGTGGACCAATTCATACGGTTATGCAATCGTTTATGACACTAGCTTCATTACACTTTTAAAGAAAATAATCTAGATTCTTGGAAAATTTGATAAGTTTAAAACTTATCAACTTTTTATAAGCAAATTCTAATATTTATTATGTTGTTTATGTTTTAAGATTATTGAATTCTAAATAAGAAATCTCTTAATATATTATTTGTATAGTCAAGATTTGAGTTTAAATAGTTTTTTTTTTCAGTTTAGAAATTTATTTTGTTTAGTTATTCGATTGTTTGAGCCGTATTATAAAGCAAGTATATTTTAACAAAGATTGGTATATATGAATCGTTACATAAAGTCTATTGGGATTCAATTCCATAAATCGAATTTGTCAAATTGTGTATATATGATATTTTTTGAAAAGATATTATATTCAAATTTTCTAAAAGGAAAAGAGATAGACATATTTAAAAAATAAAATCTATTTTAAAATAGTTGAAATTTTATTTTGAACATTTTATTATTGAACTATTGTGATTATATTTACAATATTTTTTTAGACATGAATAAATTGTATTAGAAAAAAAAAAAAATTTAAAAAAAAGTATGTATGAATGATTAAGTGTAGAGTATAAGGTTAAAAAAAAAGAATAATTTAAATGTATAATGATATCGACATTATGAAATCGGGTTTATAAAAAATATATTTTGATTGTGTGTAATTTATAGGTGTATAATAATGCGACAAGTCCATGTTTGTCTATAATTTTAATATAGTAGTGGAGATAAAGTATATGTGACGGAAGGTCAATGGAGTCGCTTGATGTTTTGATGCTATATAATTGTGCATCGTCTTCAAGCCTATTATGTGTATGAACGTGTATGTGTGTTTGTCTGTATGTGTTACGCATTTATTCTAGTCGGATTTTGTTATTTAAGTTAAACATTTTTAGAGTAGGTGTAAACTGTTTCGGTTAGATAATTCATTAGTGTATATTGCAACGAATCTTGTTGGGTGCCATTTTATAATATAATATAAAAAGGTAAGATAATGGAGACGAGTGCAGCCACTAGTTTAGGTTGGAAGTTGAGAAGACAGGATACAGACGAAAATTTAATGTATATCTGTAAGCAAAGATAAATACATTGCTTACGAAAAAACAATTCTAAGCGGAGTTCAGATGATAGTGATGCTTCATCAACAATATATATGTCATTTTGTATTAAAATAATTAAATAGGCTTTATATATTTTCTTCAATAAAATTTGTTTAATTTTGTACCAACTTTCCCAGTTTCCCTACGTTTTTCCCGGTTTTTCCATGTTTTATTCCGGTTTTTCGCATTTGCTGGGAAAACTCTAGGGAAAATCAAAAACTTACCTCTCTAAAGTACCTCCCTAGTGAAATGTTCTTTTAGAAACATTGCTATCATTAAAATTTGGAGAAAAATCGCTGGTAGAAAAGTTGTGCACAGATAAAAAAAAACATCTTTTTAAAACTATAAGCTTCTTCACTCCACTCAGAATCTAAACGAGTAAAAGTATAAATATGGTAATATTCGTATTTATGATTATTAAGTATAACGCGATCGTGCGATGATCTATCTGTCGATAGATAGGTGAATAGGTGATTAACGACAGTGTTACCACAATACGTAATCGGCAGGATGTGACCTTGAATAGACTCGTCACGTAATACGTTGTAAGATTGTTATAGTGTGTACGAAATGGTTCTATGTGTGTGTGCGGTCGTACGGATGGTTCTATGTGTGTGTGCGGTCGTACGGATTTTATTGTGATATAATATGTATGTATATTTTATAATAATATGTATGTATATTTTNNNATGTGACCTTGAATAGACTCGTCACGTAATACGTTGTAAGATTGTTATAGTGTGTACGAAAATGGTTCTATGTGTGTATGCGGTCGTACGGATTTTATTGTGATATAATATGTATGTATATTTTATACTATATTGTGTCGATATGGCCACTTGAGCGGTACCCGTTTCCACCAAAAGTGAATCTTTCCCTTTTCCACCATTATCCACTTTCACCATAAGTGAACCCTTCCTTTTCCACCATAACCCGTTTCCATCAAACGTGTACCTTCCTCTTTTCCACAGAGTTGGATTATAGGGAGAGGCTATAGCGGGCTATAGCCCAGGACCACCCAAAAAAATATTATAGGCTTGCAGCTTTTCTACAATTACAGATATACAATTAAAATAATGATTTTAACAATATTTATTTAAAGATACATGCATATTAACCTCGAAAATGGACCGTTTTAACAACGAATTTGAGTCCAAATGATAATCAAAAACTATTCCGTCTTAATAAATTACGATATTATTAACTATTCAGAAAACATAAATAATGATACTGAAGAAAAAGCTGATATAAGAAGAGAAGCAAAATCAATAATGAATAAATGTTTTAAATTTAAGACAGCGTTTATGTGTATCTTGTGGCAAACTATTTTAGAAAGATTTAATAAAGTTAGTGAAAAGCTACAGAAACCTGGATTAGATTTATTGTCTGGTTGTGAACTAATTCGTTCTTTACGACAATTTATATCTCACGAAAGAAATAACTATGAAAAGTATGATAATTTGACTCGGATTGTAAGTACAAAAATTATAGACAACCATGAAGACGTTGGTAAAAGAAAGTAAAGACGAAGTGAAAATCAAACGGTTTCAAGTTGAAAAAAAAGTTTGAAATCGATACTTTCTTTATTATTGTAGACAAATGTATGAACTTGACAGAAGTCAAAATTCTTATGTTTTTCTTTTTCAATTCAAATTTATAGTTAAATTTAAAATTAACAATGAACCAGATATTGATTCATTAAATAATTGTTTTAGTTTTACCATAACGATCTCGAATAATAACTTGAAAACAGAAATATCTCATTTTTATCATTATATCAAAACCGTCTCTTCAGATATTGACTATTGCGGTGCTATAGTAAAACGTCTTTATGAACGAAGTCTTCTAGATGTTTTTTCAAATGTATATATTGCATTAAGATTATACCTGACAATACCATTGGCAAATTGCGAAGCAGAACGCTAATTTTCAAGGTTAGTTCTAATTAAATTCAACTAAGATATACACAGATTGAAGATATACTGAACGCATTAACAATATTATATTAATTGAAAATGACATGTGTAAAAAACTCTCATTTAATGATACTTTTGATAATGATATATTTTAGATACTTTTGCATCAAGTAAATCCAAAAAAAATTATTTTAAATAATCATTGTTTGGTATGATTATATTATTACCATATATTTTATATTTTAACACTAAATTAAATTGTATTTTTTAATAAATTAACGATGTAATGTAAATTTGCTCTCTGAGGGAAAATATTTTTCTTTTTTAACTAATAAATATCAATTGACATATTATTATAAAAATACTCTTTTTGTAAAATTAGGATCCCCCAAAAATAAATTAGCCCAGGACCAATAATTTCATTAATCCGGCTCTGCTTTTCCACCAAAACCATATTATTTAGCTCACTATTGATTCTATTAATGTTTAGTGATTGTTCATATAACCCGACATAGGTATAATATACCTAATATACAATATATAAGTTAGAAAATCTTAAATTTTATTTAAAAAAAAAGATATATTATGTAATATATCGTATAGTATTTATGTAGTATGTAAATTGTTTAATGTAGAAAATATTATATTTTATTAAAACATTGTCAGATTTAAAAAATGATATAATATTGTCTTATACCTTAGGTAAGTACCTATATTGTACTTATAATAAATAATTAGTTAATATTTTTTTTTAATTGTTAGATACACTGAGATATACAAACAGGTTGTATATTTTATTACTGTATTACAATTTTTAATATAAGCGTAGTATAGAAATTTTATTGGTGGAAAAGGAAAAGATCCGTTTTAATGGAAACGTATTACGCTCGAGCACTTATTATATTTATTGACGATGGATATTACCTTTTGTAGGAGTTATTATTTCTTTATGCCTATTTATTCTAATTAATATCCTATTTACGAAAATATAATAGGTATTGCTTATACCATAGTGATCTATTGCTTAAAGTAGGCAAGAATATCGTTGCTCAAAGTTTGAGGGGTAAGATATAATTGGTATAGTCTTATAGTTATCGATTATAGTGCTGAGCGAATCCAGAGAAGTGAGGAAATGGGTTACGCGTTTGGCGCCTTTATGTCCTCTACGTTCTCCCACATCAACTACTTCCAGTTAACAGCCACAGTAGCTTAATGTGGGGCGCCTCTATGTGAGTGACACGCGTAATTAATATTGTGAATTAAGGTGTTCCGCACTTAGGTTGCAACACTGTTTAAGAGATAATAAGTTAGGTTAGATGGCAAAACTTATTTGTGACAGAACTGATAATTGAACTTACTACGTCGATTCGAACTTTTATTTTAAAAATATTCGATGTATTACAAATTGCAACCAATTTTTTGATTGATCACGTCCTCGTGGTCAACATGTAAATATAGAAAAATAAATTGTAAGAATTTATTATAATTTAGTTGATGAGTAAGAAAGTCGGTTTTTTGATTTCCTTTTAATCTCTTAAATAGTTAAACAAAACCGAAAAATTCGTAGAAAGAACGAGACATTTACAAAAGTAATTATTTTAGATCAGAAACGTGATGAGGGATTTATTGGTTTTACTATGATGTGTATAATCTGTCTGTTTGTTTTCTTTCGTTGGAATTTAGTAATGATTCGAGAGTGGGTATAATTTTCGTATGCTTTATTATTTCATCGAATAGTTTTAATTTTGTGTAAAACCAATTGTTTTCTTTATACATCAATAATAATATTATATATAATTGCATTCGATAACGTTGTACCTGTTTGGCAGTTTTAGAGCATCATTAACCGATTAAAAAGTAAAAACATTTTCTTAAAGACTGGATGCCGTTGATGTTTCGACGAAATTATAAAACCGTCAAGGTCAAACAAAATCGGTGGCGATGCATTTAAGTCACTAAAAAAAAAAATATTATACTAAACAAAAACACATAGAGGCAGTCCCGTATAATATAGTAGTGCGACACCCCACTATTCATATACCCACTGAATATACGGTTGGGCTAAAAATATTATGATCCCATTTTTTTTTCTTGTTGGGTTAACGCCAATAGACATAGCAACAACAACAAAACTAACACAGGCATTTCTCTCACACACACACACACACGCACACGCACACACACACACACACAGACACAAACACATACACATACACACACACACACCACACGTGGTTACCATGCAGCGGTGATACAATATTGCGTTTTAGAAAAAAAATAATGTTATTACGTAATATCATCATAATAATGTAACAATGTAACAACATTTAACAAGTTATCTGTCCGTCACATATCTTAGATTCTGAGTAGAACGAAGAAACTAATGGTTTTACAAAAATGTTAATTTTTTTTCTGTGAACAACTTTTCTACCAGCAATTTGCTCCAACTTTTAATGATAGCAATTTTACTAAAAGTAAATTTCACTGGGGAGGTACTTTAGAGAGGTCATTTTTTGATTTTACTAAGAGTTTTTTCAGCAAATGTGAAATACCGGGATAAAGCATGATAAAAACAAGAAAAACGTAGGAAAAGTGCGAAAATCGGTACAACATTAAACAAATATTATTAAAGAAAATAGAGCCTACTTAATTATTTTACTGTAATATGACGTATTTATTTTTGACGAAGCATCACTATCAACTGAACTCCGGTCAGAATCGTTTTTTCGAGCAATGGTTTATCGTTGCTTACAGGTATACATTAAATTAGGTATCTATAACAGAGGCTGCACCCGTCCTCATTATCCTAGGACTCATTTTTTTTTTGAATTTTCCCCGAAAATAGAGACTATTGCATCGTTTACCCGTTACTTTTGAATACTTTTAGTGGATCACTCTTGACAAAATTAGCTCAAATTCGTGACTTAGAATTGTTTTATATGGATAAACAAGTTTGGTTGCATTGCAACATATTGTTGTTAATGTAGTTAAACATCCCCCTCGAGTTGCGTGTATATGCTTTCAACACCCCAATATACAAGCCAAAATAAAGCTATAGTCGCTATAGAATAGGAGGATAACATTGTGTACTTATTATGAATGACCTTATAACATAGTAACATTCACCGATATTTTATTTCTTTGCCCGACAAATACGCACTATACCAATTCAGAACGATGTTCCTTCCTTAAATCTGCAGTTCGATCGGTTTAGTGAAACTATAAGAATTCTAAAAACAGATTTGAATTAAGCTTGAAGTGTACTTGAGATCGGTCAGGTTACGTTGTCCCAATTTAATTTCAGCTTTTTTTGATTTCTTTTATACATTTTCAAAACAAATTTTTGAAAATTAAAAGAACTAAAATTCGAAAAATTGATTTCGAACTCGTATGACCCGAATTTAAATTTGTTTTTTTAGAATCCTTAAGGGCTTATTGGTCAGACTAAATGAAGGAAAATCGATCTACATTTCTATTTTGTGTATGTGTTAAATAAAAAAAGACAATATCGATACCTAAATCTCCTCACAAAATCCGTTATTTAATTTATATAAATCTGTATTCTGCACACAGCGATAAATAATTATCGGCAAAATACGACTCTGAGCGCATTTCGGTTAAACATGTTTTGAATGATTTTTTTCATCCAAATTGAAATGATAATGCTTATAAAAAAAATCGCACATTACCACATTTATGCTAATATGTGAAAATATCCGGTCTCTATTTTACGATTATATTTAACAAAATTGCAATAAAAAAACAAAATCAAAAATAATTAAATTATTATATCCGTAAACTTTCCCTTTTCCCGTTTTCCCATTTACTAAGAAAATTGCCCGAACACGAATAACGTCTTTCTTATGCACCATTTAGACGAAAATTTTCCTTTAAGTTTTTTCCAATATTATAAAAATCACTAAGAAAATCGAAATTGGCCTTTGCAGTGTACCAACTAAATCCAAAATACTACAAAAATAAATTTAAAAAAAAAAAAATAAAAAATAATGACCAAATAAACACCTTTGCAAAACCATAGGCTTTTTCGCTCCACTCAGGGTCTGAAAAAAAAAAAAAAAGCGCTCACCGTACGGCAAGACCGATACGTCGCTCGCCGCGTCCAAAACCGTATACAAATGTGAGAAACGTTATCGTTGAAGTTAGCCGCCTCCGCCGCCGCCGCCACCGCCGCCGCCGCCGCCGCGTGTGTTTTTTCCTCCGTTGTTGCGCCGTCGCCGTCGGCCGATCCGAACAGCCCGCAGTTCACATGCGGCTCGATCAGTGAATCGCTCTGTCGTTTGCCGTCTCACCCGTTATTTCGCATAGCGTAGTGTATGTGTGTTTGTGTGTTTTTGTTTGTTTGTGGGCGCGTGTGACGTCGTAAATACAATATATTATTTCGTTTTGTCGATTAGGAAATATTGTTATCGCACCGACGCCGCGCCGGTTTATACGTATTATTATTGATAAAGTAAAAACGAGATACCATCGCTATATTAATTAAATACTGTTTCATACCGAGTGCGGTTTGAATTGGTTTTTTTCTCGTTTCGATACAGACGTTACACCGAGAAATAGGTGAAAAAAAAAAAACAATAATAATAATAAAAGCCAATCGCCGGCCGACGATGAACGCCGCGTCCGAAACCCCGGACATCCGTAGCAAGACTTAGAAGAAAAAAAAAAAAGCAAAAAAGAAACAAACACCAACCGAAAGTTCCGATCCGCCAGAAAAGATAATATAATAATATTATAAGATATTATTATCGTCTCTCTTCGAAAACCGAAAAGGTATTGTAAACACTATATTATACCATTGCAATGTTCGTAAACGTAAAATTTTATGATTTCCTCGGTTTCTGGTCGTATTAATATTACACAACTGAACACGGTTTTGAACACTTATACTTTGTTTAATTTTGCCGTTTTTCCTTTCCGTTTCTTTATTTTGGGGGATTTTCTATTTATTATTATTATTATTATTTTTTTTTTTGTTATAATATTTTAGGAAAAAAACCATCTATACCTACTTTACTACCGCCAACGTTAATATTCTTCTCCTCTTTGAATTTTTTTTATCTGTATTTACTCTCTAATTTATTTTCGAAATAACGTAAAATTGTCTGTGCGACCTGATAGACCGAGACCTATGTATGTACGCATGACTATGTACGACTAACGGTACGTTCAACAATATCTGATTTTTTTTTTTTTTTCAAATCCATTATAAACAGCGTTGATATTCAAACATCAAAATATTCGATTTGTCTGTTCGATACGAGGCTTACTAATAATGAGTAAAGTATTTGTAACATTTACAATATTTTAACAATACACGCATGTATAAATTGAAACGCATTATCGGATTTCAATGGTTTGTTTGACATTCTATGGGTTTGGTGAGCCACAAAAAAGATTCATAGAATTCATAAAAGCCTCATGGAAAATCGGCCTAAACGTTTAGCGCGTGTGCGCGTATCTATGTTGGATGAATACAATTAACAATGTGCCGTTATTCAAGCGCCTAGACGAAACGCGTGTGGATACCAGGCTAGACTGGTGAACGCGGCGACCGCGGATAAAAAACAAGACGGTTCTCAATAGAGGTGTTTGGTGAATAGACGCGACGCGGCGGCGGACGGGCGCGCGCGCGCCCAACTGTTGCTCGCGGCATTTTATCGGCGACGTTTCGTTTCCCCGTCGTCGTCGCGGCCGGATAAAAACAAAACGATCGTACATTATAGGCGCGCGCTACGGCAACGACAATATTATTATTATTGTTATTATCATCGCGCGCGAACAATACCCGTTTTTTTTTTTTTTTTTAAGTTTCGGGACTATATTCGAACGCCATTGAACGGTACGTTTAAACGTTTGCTACACCGCTGACTGTGATCTTTGCGCTCCAACTCGATTCGGCCGGAAACGAATGACAAAATGATAATGTCATAATTATATCCTATTTATTATTAATATTTTACTATTGTCGTTTTTCCCCGTAGCCCGTGCATGATTCGTTTGACGTTCATCAGCACAGTATACACCGATAAAACTATACCGGGCTGGTTGGTGCCATATAATCATAGACATCATAGAAATTAAGACGGAGCGTTAGGGACGTAGGCAAGGGAAAACGGAGGATTAAAGCACTCCCATTCCCACATGCCCATATTTATTATTAATAGAATCGGGCACACTCGAATGAAGCCCTTCTTAAAAAAAAATATATATATATCGTTATTTTTAATTTTCTGCAGATATAACACGAGTTAGCAGGCATCACTTGCCTTTTTGACTGTATAATATTACAGATACTAAAGCAATTAATGTAACTTATTATACAATTAGTTTTAAGATTTTTTTTTATGTTATTTTTCATGTTAACACAGTGTTATCTGAATCTAAATCAGTGAGTGGAGTATCAATTGCGTGACGGTACGGCACGTAGTGTGTTAATAATGCACCACTGTTCTCTTCCAACCCAAACTTAAATGTGGAATATCTTGTCAATGGCTTGACAGAAATCAAAAATGCCAATACTAAAATCTATTTTAACTAATACTCCATCTATTTATCGAATTTTTAATATAAGTTGTCATTTGAAAATCAAAAGTAGTTAGCGGTTTTACCCCCAAAAATAAGGGTGACAAGAATAACATAAATATCAAATTGTAAATTAACTTGTATTTTAAATACTCTAGAAAACAAATTCCGGAAAAATGTAATACTTTCCGAGATAATGAGTGTACTAACTTAAATGGATTACCTGGTGTACGAACACTCATCATGAGCTTTATAGATTTAGAACGTAGCGAAGAACTATTAGTTTTACTAGTGTGTGTGTGTGTGTTTTTTTTTTGTGCTTGTAAGCAATTTGTTGACAAAAAAAAGATTCTACTTTCCCAACGAGACTTTTTTTGTTGCATTTTAGATATAATTGGTGAGTAAGTTTGATTTGCCATGTAATTCTCTTAACAATTTATCAAAGCGGGGTACAACTTAGGAAGAACAGGAAAGTTTATGGAAATAATAATTTCATTATTTTCAGTTTCGTTTTTTGTTGTAATTTAGTTTAAAATAATCTCAGAGAATTGAAATTTGACAGAAAACTTATATTTTGCCTTTTTAAAATGTTTATGTTCGCGTTTTTTTACGTAGTTTTTATTTAGTATAAGTATTACGTGAATATAATTATTCGACCAAACAGAAATGCTTGAAAATTGAACAAGAAGTTCATTATAAGTTGTACTTAGTGGTCAAAAAAAAAAAAAGTGTTTATAATGGTTTTAAGAAATTTTTTTATTGAAAATAGTAAATATTACGATCTTTCAAATCATGTGTAAATAAACTTCGTTTAGAATCGTTTTTCGTTAGCAATGTTTTATTTTTTCTTACAAATATAACTCAAATAACTTGTTGTATCATACCTTTTTAAATTTCCACCTTCAACAGTAGCGCACCCGTCAACTGAAGAGCTATATCAGCTCTTCGTCATATAATTTGTTAGCTTAAAATGTACTTTTTTAAAATAAATATACGTACGCTATACATACGTATTTTGATTTATTCGATTTTTGATTTATATTTGATTTAGTTTTATTATTTTTATTAATAAATTAAAGAAAACTATAATTTAACATTACTTAAGTCCAATGTGAAGTCTTCTGAAATACTGGATTCATCGTCTCTTGCAGAAAAAAAAAACGAATTAATTATTAAATCAAATTTACATAGGTACGAACAAAAACGCTTGTCTGCGTGATAACCGTGCGACGACGTGCATTTCGTTGTGATGACTAATAAGCCCAAGAGGCGCTCCTACAACACAACACTATGAATTATTATTTTATTATAGATGCATTACAAACAAAATATGATATGATAGGTACATGCAATTATTTAATTTATTTCTGGTAGTCTGCATGCAAAGTCAAATCATTATTAACGAAAAACCATTCTGAGCTAAGGTTGTTTAAACATGTTTTTAAATTACGTAATTTTTAAGATTTAATTTAAATATTATAAACATTTACCTACCTACCAACCTAATATCAACGAACAATATAAAAATGACACTCGATTGACTGACTCTGGATTATTCTTTATCTTTGATCTGAAAATATGATCCTATAAGTAACTATCTTTGTTATTTGTTAACCGACCTGATATTATACACTTGTTTTACCAATAGTTACGAAAAACGTTTCTGTCACGTTGGTGTGTCCAGTGGCATAAATAGGAAAATGCCAGAAAAGCAGTTGCATTAAGGCACTACATCTGAGTCTTATTGCTTTTCCAGGAGACCGGGTTTTTTTTTGTCAATAACAAAAATATTTGCGTTGAAAAAAATAATATCTTGTTTTTCATTATTGTATACAAGTACTATTCTAATCAATGATTAGAGTGAAATATCCTGTCTACAACGGACATCTCTTTCAACGCACAACATTTTAAGGTCACAGCAAAACTATAGGGGTTTCCATGTATTTTGATCTGTCTATAATGGAAGCGGACAAGAAAAACGGCTAGTAAAATTCAAAGTATAGACTCATACATAATATTATTCGCTATATAACGTCATAATAAAAAATAAAATGTGGGAAATATTGTTTTTTGGGTTATTTTAATACGACCTGTATACAACGGACAACTATTTATAACAAACATTTTTCCCGGTACCTACAGGTGTCACTAAATATATATTTATAAATAACCAAACTTTACCGTTTTATTTAAGATACCAATAGTATCGAATAAAAAACCTCGTAAATTAAAACTTATAAATTTATATATATATATATATATATTCGTATATAGCTATTAATAAATCATATACCTATGTATACTGTATATGATGTATTTTTTTGATATATCTCTATATATATATATAAAAAAAAAGACTAATAAAATACATTATGCTATACAGATAAGATTATAGTGAGGTCGTACTCTTAGTTTTATCTTTTTACATTTTAACATAGTAGGAAAGGAGCTCTTTAAATATTCCGCATTTAGATCAGATTTTTATACTTACGCTATTGGGTGTATCTATTGTGTTCATTGACGTATCTAAAGCCGTGCGCGGAAATATTTCGGAGTACGTTCATCGAGTATCAGTGGTTACAGATGGTTTCGGTCATTCGGGGCCATCAATTTAATCAACGCCGGAAATTACGGATTATCGATAGCCTTCCAATTAACAACTTTATACCCACATTTTTCGAATTATTTTGTACAGTTAAATAATTCCATGCGATAAATAATTATTACCTATATTTAATTAGAGTAGACTATATTTAAAATATAAACTATTGGGTTTTTCACATTTTACGCCAGTCTATAATGAAATTTTGAAATTATTTTTAATACCCATTACTAATATTTTTGTTTCTCGTTTAAAAATTAATATTATGAAACTTAAGTGTTGCAATATACCTAGTAACAAATAGAAAAATAATACCACTATGTTTGTTTTACCGGCCGATAAATAATATTTTTATCAAATAATTATACACCAGATTATTTGGTATTTTTATCACACAGTGACTGAGGGGAACAACAAAAATTTTCAATATATTTGAAATAACCTGACCTACGGTTTAACCTTTCAAATAACCAGAAACAATGTTTTATTATTTAAAGATAACAAATAAAATTAAAAACGAGATTATTCGACAATATTTTAACGAGTATTATTATAATAATTGACTACTTTTACAATTAAACAACAACAATAAACATGACACCTAAAATAATACTTTAAAAAATTAAAAACAAAATTATATATTTTGAAAATAGCATAAAGTTTTTACTAAAACGTGTTTTTTTTTTTTTTTTTGAGATTATAATTTTTCGTTAGTAAGAATGGTCCAAAGTGTTGGTTCATTTCTTTAACCCCTACCCTCCTCTTTGAAGCAAAATAAAGAGCCTTTAAGATTCTGAGCGTAACAAGGGATCTATTGGTTTTACTATAATGTGTGTTATTTAAATTCTGAGAATAACGATAGATCTATTGGTTTTCAAATGATGTTTTTGTCTTGTTTTCGTTTTTTTTTCCTTAAATTATTTCGGCGAGTTACCCTGGTAATCATAATTTCAAAATCATACATTTCGACCATGCAGTATTATTTAATTTGTATGTACAATTTTTTACAACAAAAATTAATTTTTGTACGACTCTCGATAACTTTAGACCGAACTTCTTTTTTTTTTACTTATCTTATTACATAAATCTAAAAAAAAAAATGTAAATGAAGATTTATGTATTTATGTATTTTTGGTTAATATTAACTGAAATATATAAGTATATATTATAGGTGACGAACAACAGTTTATCTAATATCTTAGATTCTGAGGGGAGCAACAATCAACAATATATGTCATAATATAACAAAATATTATTTTGATAAAATAATTAAATAAGCATTGTATATTTTCTTTAATAATAATAATTGTTTACTATTGTACCGATAATCCTATGTTTTTTCCTGATTTTTCATATTTGCTGGAAAACTCTTGGGAAAATCGAAAAATTACCTCTATAAAGTATCTTCCAATTCAGATTTCCTTACAGCGCTATAATTGTGAATCGGAGCAAAATTGCTGGTAAAAAAGTTGTCCACAAAAAAAAATTATCGTAATATTTTACTATTAAATTTCGTACATTTTCCCGTTTTTCCTCCGTTTTATTTTTGGTTTTCCACATTTTATAAAAAAAATTCCTGAGAAAATCGAAAAAAAACCTTCTTAAAGTACCACCCCAAGAAAATTTCCTTTCAAGGGTCCACATCGTAAACATCAAAGTAAATTTTCTGGTAGAAAAAGCGTTCACATAAAAATAAAAAAATAAACATCTTTATAAAATCAATACATTTTTCGCTACATTCAGAATCTAAAAATTGAATATTAATGTTTCTAGAAAAATCCGTCCAATGCCCTATCTGTTCTTCTTTATCTATCCCATCTATCTCGGTTTTTCAAATGAGAACCTTCACTAAAAATTCCATAAATAGACGGAGTATTAGTTTAAATACATTTTATTGTCAACGTTTTTTATTCCCGTAAAACCGTTAACGAGATATTCTACTAATACGTTTAGATAGGAGAAGAGTAGTGAGTTTTGGAGTGTGGCGGCACGGTGCCCGGCGTTTTATTAGTGCTCTACTACTCTCCCCTATCTAAACTTAATAGTGAAGTATTTCGTTAACGAGTCAACGAAAATCAAAAATGTTATTATATAAAAAAATATATTTAAAGTAATATTTCGTCTATTTATGGAATTTTTAATACAAGTCCTCATTTGAAAAACTAAAATTGGTATCATCACAGGATACTCCAATGTTGTGGAAAATCTAAATATTCGAAATTATCGGCTTTAACTACACTTAAAAATCTCAAAAATCAGAATTTGTATGTATGCAAAATGTAACCAAAAAAATTGGGTGTCCACACTTAGTGAATCATTCTATATACTATGTCCACATATTTAATGATACCGAACTTGAATAGTATTTAAAAAGCAAATTAATATTTAATTGGAATTCGATGAGGAGACGGTACTTAATACAAAAATATCAAGAGCACTAAGTAATAATATATAGGCTACAACTAAATATAAATTATATATAAAAACGAAAAGTGCGGACCTATGATGATTATTGTAAACATCGATAGGGGTTAAAATCAAAATATATCCCCAGTATCCCCGATGAAAAACGACTGTATCACGAAAAGTTCAAAATCACAATGTCAGGACTTGCAGCACAAATCAATAATTCAAAATAAGGTTAACTTTATCATTAATTAATATAATAGGTGCACTTTTTTTTCATTTCGTATTTTGTGTCGAGCATCGTGTCATAAAATATGCTTACTGACTATTATGCTTACGATTATTCATATATAGTATTTTTATAGGACGTTCTAAAAATACAAACCAAGGACTTAAAATGTGTTTTACAATTTAAAACAATCGTTGTTTTATAATACTCGTACAGTAGTTTTCTTTTGTGAATTATAATACAATATAATTTATTTAAATTGCAAATGATCGATATTTACATCATTCATTTAATACCTAATTCTGTATAGTTCAATTCACTTGTTCGGTTTATACAATTATTGTTTATAGATATCAGTTATGATACGTTATTCAAATAAATTTTATTTGATACTAAAAGTAAATAAAAACATTTTATAATATTAAATGATAAAATAAATTACGTACGCGTCGTTGTTAAACCGCGTGATATTTACTTTGCCTTCGTTTTTGTACGAATTTTGTAATATTTCCAATTTTAAATTTATTTTTTATATGTATTTTGATGTGTAGTCAATATCGTTATTTATGAATCGATACACTTTTTTAATGTGTTCATTAAGTATATAATTTTTTTCTTCGTCAAAATTCTACGTTAACATTAAATATTTTATTGCAACTTAGGTATAGATAATTATTGTAATGATGGTTTATTATCTAAATTGTATTCTTTATACATTTTCATTTGCATTTATATAAAACTAGTTTTTATAATTGGATTAATGCATGTACTTAAAGTACAAAAGTTAATTATATATCATTGAAAATAAAATAAAAGCATAATATCTAAAGAACTATATATATAATATAATAACTATAGATATAAATCGGGCTGTAAATTTGTAACAGTAAATTTAGTTACTGCATGACATATTGTGTACAACTTTCTTAATATAATTACGAATTATGGTTCATAATATTAATTTATTTTAAATCAGATTTGAGACTTTCATTTCGCTTTTTTGGCATTTTCCTTTTTTCCCTCTTATATAATCATTTATTCTCCTTTTTTAATGTACTTCGTGGCATTTTTTTGGTATTTCCGGTTTAGTACCTACGGAATACATTTATCAATTAAATATATTTTAAAAAATAGTTTTATCCAGGCTGTTAAAGTTTATTCAGTTATATTTATTTTTTTTTTATTGGAAAATTCAAATGATTTCTATATGAATTTTTAATGTATAAAATGTACAGTACTATAGACTATATTAACTACATATTATATAATAACACAAAGACTATAATTATAATATATAATTAAAATTGTTTAAGAGGTTAAAAATATAACAATAAAATATAGGTACTTGTATTTTATTCACTATAGTCAATGAATTATAATTCATTTCTTCAATTTATAGTTTTACATGCGTTAACACTGTACGAGTGTTATCGGTTGTTAAACTAGTAAAATAGTGTTTGATTTATACTATACGCACGTTCGGGATTTTGAAACTGTAATTGAATAACTCTGCGCACTGTGAACGTCCGACGAAAACGATTCGTCGATTACTATTTACTTTATTATCACATTTTAATGAATATTTGCTTAATTACTTACTGTAAATCCATTACTCGGTACTACTGTCTAGAACATAAGGTGGGAATCTGGAGCTGTCCAACGCGGCCTCTTTGAGACGTAGTTTTAGTACCTTTTTGATGCGTTATTTAAATTGCACGACGAGCGTAACTTTTTACTCTTGAGGTTATGGTGAAAAGAATAAATTTCATTATTTCATAATTTCACCGGTAGGTAAGCAGGGGGACCATGGGGACTAGACCCCCCTCCACCCTAAACTTTTCACTAAAACATCAGATTATTGGTAGTTAGTGATATATTTTATGTTTTGATCCCCCCCCAAAAAAACACTGGCTACGTGCCTGGTTTGGAGTCAGTTACCATCATACTAAACTTCCACTTGAGATCTCTCGTCCAACATTTACCACCTGTGCACATTTTATTCTCGAACGCTTCTGACTATATTTTTTAGATTCTGAGTAGAGCGAAGATGATTTTTTTTTTTTATCTGTTAACAACTTTTCTATCAAAAGACTTGCTCGGATTTTTAAGTGCTGCAAGTTTTCTGAAAGGAAATCAGTGTAGAGAGATACTTTAGGGCGGTCATTTTTCAATTTTCTCAAGATTTTTTTCATAAAATTTGAAAAATCAAAAAATAAACGGGAAAATATACAAAATATTACTATTTTTTTTTCTGTGCACAACTTTTCTACCAGCAATTTTCTTCCAACTTTTAATGACGGCAATTTTTCTAAAAGGAAATTTTCTAGGGAAATACTTTAAAGATATCATATTTCGATTTACTTAGGAGTTTTCCCAGTAAATGTGAAAAACCGGTATAAAACATAAAAAAAACATTATTAAAGAAAATGTATAAAACTTATTTAATTATTTTGCTATAAAATGTTATATATATTGTTGACAAAGTATCATTGTCAATTAAATTCCGCTCAGAATCGTTTTTTCGTAAGCAATGATTTATCGTTGCTTACAGGTTTATATAAATTATCTATAACAGTGGCTGTATCCGTCCTCATTATCCTAAGACGTCTTTTGCAGTCTTCCTCTCCACCTCTATTTTCCTACCTTTATTTTCATTACAACTCTTACTGCTTCAAATTCATCCCTCTGCTGAGCATGCCTAAACCATCTATTTTCTCTCATTTTGTCTATTATCAAAAACCTGCCTAAACTACCAATTATGTACTCTCTACTCTATCTTCTCACCTCACTCCACTTATCCACCTAAGCATTTTTATTTCTCTATACTCATTATATGTTTTATGTTTCTGTCTATCATGCAGGTGTTTATTACCTGACGCTTCTCTTTATTTTATCCAACCGTATTCTATGCTTAGATCATCATTAAAAATTAATAAGTAAACCTAAAAATAACCTAAAAAGTATAACTTTCATATATTTCCATAACCATTTTAAAATTACCAGTTTTACAGACAATTGTAATTATTAATTTGAATTGAGTATGGTATAAGTATACTTACTTTTAAAGTTATGAATATTTTGAAATCATGATAAAAAAAAATCTAATTCGAATACATCGATAAATTGATTTACTATGTATGTTTAATGTTTATATATAAGTTCAATCTCAATTAACCCCCGTAGTTATGAAAATAACTTTTGAAGTATTGAGAAATATCGATGTTGTAAGTAATTGGCTAGGTATATGATGATTTAATTTTTTTAATTTATGCATATCAAACATTTTTGAAAAATATCTTTTACCGTAACTCGCCTTTGAAACACAAAAGTAATTTTGAAAAAAATTATGAATTATAAAAACATCAAATATAGACAAAATGTTGGCACTCTGTATAATATCGATAATAAACCGAGACAATAATAATAGACGATTGTAAAAAAATAAATTACAATTTTATTGTACTTGTTAAATTTGTATATATATATAAAGACTTTGGAGTTCGTCCAGTTTAATTTCTTCATTATTTATCAAGCTCGACTAATTGCTACTGTAGGTATGTATTTGTGCGTCTTATTACGCAAATTGTAATGCATATTGAGGTTACCCGCATTTAAATACATCATACACGATGACGAATTAAACTGACAACACATTTTTAACATACCTATTATTTTGTCTCAGAATTCTTTAAACTTGTACATAATTTATTAGTTGCAGTGTAGTTTAACTAATTTTTATTTTTTGACCGAAACCATTTAGATTATTACATTTTTACTCCTTTGATAAAACGCCGACATACTTGACAAAAAAAACAAAAAGAATCTAATAAACGTGTCATTCCATATTATATTATAGTATAATAATATTCTTCGGGGCCTTTCCCGATCGTCAAATAACCGCTCGTAAAATGTTCATATCGAGAACGGATGATCTATTGTGATTTACGACCAAATTCACATAGTTCCTCTGCAGAATATAGTTTTATCGTATTGATTAATTCATTACGATATTTTCTATGTAGATTATTAATTATTATAATTTTAAAGAGTAATAATAATGAACCACATAAATACATAGGTACCGAGCAATATTAGCAATATGATCAAATATTTTATCAGTTTCTTTTTGGTTTAAATCATAACAATGTTACGATTTCATATCATCAACACTGCAAGCTGTATTAACATACTATAATTGTAATGTTGAAAAAAAAAATAATACAATGTTTCGTTCAAAATGTGATATCTAAACGTTGTTCAAGTACTATAATACGCATAGTAATCATTTTGTTTTGCGCGTTTCTAAACACCCAGTAAAAGAACACAATATTATCAAATTCAGCGATACTAATAATATAAAGCTAGGTAAGATTGGTGCTATGATGTATTTATCGATGACCCCCATTTCCAAATGTCATCGGCTTACGCGCGTGGTTACGATTCAAGTACCTACCTATTCAATTGAAATATTATGTCGAAATCAGTTATCGCTTATCGGTTACCATATTATTATTACACCCGATCATTATTGTTTTACCCTCTATAAAGTTATCGTATTATTTCGCGTGGTTAAATAACGAACATCGTCTTTTTCTCTTATAATTATAACAATAACAATATGCCTACAATTAGTGAAATATCCGAGTAGCGGGTCAGTGACTAACGTGACTAACGCATAAGATTTAATAATAAATTTAAGGCCAAATAAAATATTAGTCACCAAACGCGGTTTGGCGACCAACGTATTTGTATTGCAGCTAAAAAAACGTATTATAAGTATTTACACAACATCATTATATAAAAATAAAACCGTTTACTGTCTAAAAATCACAGACAGGAACCAAAACAGTTTTTCATTTTCATTGATTTTATTAATGGCCGTAGTTATAGATGTAAATATATAATTGTTTCGTTAAAGGTTTCGGTTTCTGTCTCATTAACCGGTCCAGTAACCGTTTAGTTTAAGTTCAGTGATTTAATTATTATTATGGGACTCTATGGCATACTGAGGAACTGACAATGCACGAATCGGGGAAACAAATGCTGACGGACGCCGCGCTGGTTTGAGTTTAGAAAGATGGGTTCCATGGTTGATAAATGTTACAGTAACTAGCCGGAGACTTTGTCTTAAACTTAAAAATATAATTTTATGTTGATCTCTGATTTTTAGATAAGAATAAAAGTGAACGGAAAATACGCATATTGAAAATATAATTACATGAATTCTTTATCTCTAAGGATATACGAATAAAATATAATAATAAAAATGTTTTTTGGTATTTTGGTACTTTTTTAGTAATACTCAACTGATGGTCCAAAGTGCCAATGAAATATCACATTTTCAACTTCGTGTGGGGAGTTATTTTACTTAATCTATTATTTATTTATGTTTTTTTACAATTTATTTGTGAGTCCTTAGGATTTTTGAATCTGTTTATAATAAATAACCAGAAGAATCATTTGAGCACAATTGACGATACATGTTTAACTCCATTATCCGTGCAAAAATTTAAAACTTGTTAGAAAAAACCAAGTTCAAAAAAAACAGTGTTGATACTGGAGTCTGGGTACGGCCATTGTTTTAAAAACCATTGATAACGAAAAACGATTAGAAGCGAAATTCGGTTATACAAATTTTGAAAGGCTGTAAAATTTACGATTTTAGTTAAAATATGATTTTAAAACTCTTAAGAAAAAAGAAAAGTACCTACTATACTTCAAACAAAATTTGACAAATTCTGACCAATAAGTATGTCTTATAACAGCCTATCATTTTTTTAAGCATTTCTGTTAAATCTAACAAGTTATCTACAAAGTAGTATCTACCGAAAACATTTACGAAAAACACTCGAAAAATTAAAATGTCTTTAAATAGCTCAAATTTTTTGAAAATTTTACTATATATAGCAATACTAAGTATGCCTTTTTTTCAAAATTTCTAGTCTCTATGACAGTGTTAACCTCAATAGCAATGAAAAATCAAAATTGAAAATAATAAAAGCATTATTTTTTTGTAAAATTGTCCGGTTTTTTTTCGGTTTATTGTTAAAATGTTTGTTAAAACAATTGTTAAAAAAATTGTTAAAAAAATCATAAAACGAAATACTTACTTACCAACTAGATTAAAAATTCAACAAAACAGGTTTCTTGTTGTATTTCTATTGGATTAATTTTTATGGTAGAAAACATAAGTTCAACATATTAAAATAATTAAACCGGGCGCGGCGTTGCAGTATAAATATTAATCAATTTTGAATTTTTGGTTTTTTCCAACAACTTGGAAAACTACTTTAGACATTGAAAAAAGACTACTTACTCTGTCAGTGGCGAAATATTAAAAGGAAGAAAATTGATCTTACGTCATTTTTGAATTGGAGCATGATTTCTGGTAGAAAACATCGTGTAAACATAATAAAAATAATTAAAACGGTAACGCCACAATCCGCAATGAATTACCGTTTTACCTTTAATTTTCTTTCGGGTTTTTCCCAATTATTTCGAAAACCCATTTTAAAATCAAAAAAAGGCTTCCCCAATGCACCAATGCGAGAAAATTACCTTTCAGAAAACTTGCTATAATAGACTATAAGCAATTCTATACTTTGGAGGAAGTTTTCTGGTAGAAAAGTTGTACACAGACACGAAAAATGAAAAAAAAATACACATGCACATCATAGTAAAACCAATATATTCCTCGCCATGCTCCATATCTAAAATTATATAAGGTTAACATAAATTACATTACTAGTACTTTTTAAATATAGGTTGCAATTTGAAAATAAAAAGTAGGAGGTCAGTTTACCCCCAAAAATATCTATTGGTACCATAATATAATGTACTATTATTACTGTTGCAACGAAAAAAAAGATATCTTAATTCAGGATATATCTTTTTTCAGCATCATTCAGGAAAAAAGTCGTATATAAGAAGACCAAAGAGATGAGATTAGAAATTCTTCATTGCACTCGTACATTAATTATTGTTTTTTTGTCTTAATATTACCACAATAATTAAATTTACTATTGAATGAGGGAAATTCATAAAAAAAAAAATATATAATTATACATTTAAATGTTACATTGGTGATAATATTATGTTTTTGACATAAAAAAAGCTATTATTACGAAAATTATAATATTAATAGTGTCGAAAACCTATGTAGAATAATTATAATTTGTGGTAGACAACTAATAAAATAATTTGTTCAAATTGATTTGAAAATATAATTTTAAAGAAAAAAATCCATTAACATTATCGATCACAGTATTTTTAAAACTATAGTACCTTTAAATTGTATTGTTTACTGTTGAACTTATTATTATTTGTATTGTTTTTTTTTTGTCTATTTGTAAAAACATAATCTAAAAAGACGCTTAAGATACAGAAACGGGTGCAGCTACTATTATAGATAAATTAATGTTTACCTGTAAGCAACGATAAACCATTGCTTAGGAAAAAACAATTCTGAGCGGAGTTTAATTGATAGTGATGCTTTGTCAACAATATATATGCCATATTGTAGTAAAATTATTAAATAGGCTTAATAAATTTTCATTAATAATGTTTGTTTATGGTGTACTGATTTTCCCAATTTTCCTACGTTTCCCTGTTTTCCCATGTTTTATCACATTTTCTGGAAAAACTCATGAGAAAATCGGAAAATGACTCGCTTAAAGTACCATTCTACACCGATTTACTTTCAAAAAAGATGTTACACATAGAAATCCAAGCAAGTCTTCTGTTAAAAAAGTTGTTAACAGATGAAAAAAAAATAATAATAAATTTCTTTGTAAAACCATAAACGTCTTATTTCCACTCAGAATCTAAACGAGTTTTAAAATTATTTGATTTTTAATTTTTTTGTCTCTCATCAGAAATGTAAAATCTATAGTATAGTTTTATACACAAGGATAAATCCTTTCAATCGAGAAACGATTATGAGCAGTTAGTTCGGCTAAGCATATTTTTTTTCCCATCATGTTATTTTTCCCATTTTTCTCGATGTTAATTATTATTGTAAAAAAAGTAAAATCAAAAAAGTTAACCCCCAAAATATCAAAGGGACAAAATTTGCTACTATACCCTGAAGTTAATGAATGGAACAAACTGTTCACAGACCACAGATATAATATATAATATACTAGACTACTAACTATCATAATAATGTTTTCTAGGGCTTAGAATCTATTATCACTTCTATGTTTCTATGATATCAGATATTAGGATAGTATGGGTGATAAGGAAGATAGTAATATCATTAGGGTTGAGAATGTAATTATTATACGATTATCACGTTTATATGTATCATGCAATAATAAACGTGAAAATTATCTTATTCACGTTTAAAAATAATACTTAAAACAAATGTTTATCAAAGCAAGTCACTATATATTTGGTTTGAAATTACTATTATTCGACAGTAATACGAGTACCTATTTAATGACAAATTATGTACAAAAATCACGTTTTATAAAAACGAAATGTTTTTTGATAATTATTATTCTAACCATACATTTTTAATCGAATAAACAAATCGTTAAAATATGTAAATATTGGTGTATGAAATAATAAATAAATAAATGTTGATTATTTTTATTTTTAATCAATTAAATTTTAATAATTTATTGATAGCTCCTCAAACGCCCGACCAGTAATAAACATCGATATGCGAAACAAATGGTTATATAAAAATCATAAAATAAAATTTAAAATTATTATTTAGATTCAAATCCGTAAAATGTCCTTAAAAATTGATTTAAAATTAAAAAACTTAAAATAAATTATTTTTCTCATTAAAAAGCACACGAAACAAATGTTTAGCAAAACAAGCATCGCACTGCAAGTCTAGGAAAATAAATGCAAAGACTTGCTTGTATTGAAAACTATACGAAATTGACTTAATTGACCCTACTTCCCTATCACCTAAGATAAGAAGCATTCAGCTAAAGTACACACGTTGATCCGACGTTTAAAAAAAATATATATCCCATGCTCCGTCCGAGATCGTGGACAAATTTTCCATTTTGTCACATCACATTTAAATTTACAAATAATAATACACCGCGACCACACACATAAATACGTTGAAATGAGCAGACCGAAATAACTAAGTGCCCATTGTCCAACAATGGTATCGCTAAATTATTATTGTTGTTCTACTTATATTTTTATTATTATTATTATTATTTTCATATGGTTACTTAATAATATATTATAATTATTTAAACAATATTCCTGAACGCTCTTATTGTTACAATTATTGTTTTTATAGTTTTAATTTAGTCTTTCTGTATTTCAATAATAATTCATTCGACGAGCGTAACCGCAACGAACTAGAACATATTAAATATGTATTTTTTAAAAACATTTTTTAAGTGGAGTCGTAATCACCGGAAAATATGACACGGACGAAAACTTCTGTATTCTATTTTACAAAAAAATAAAATAAAATAATGGTTTTCTATACTAATATTTAAAAAAAATAATTATGAGAAAAACAAAAATAAAACGCTCGTCCAAACGAATAAAACTAAAAGTTTATTTTATAACGTATCCTAATAGTTGGTAACTGTATTATGTGTATTTTTATAATTATGACTCTGAAGTTAATATTCCAATTTTTTTCTTCTTCTTCTAAAACGGGTGGTACTTTTCTTGCTAACAATGTGTTTTAATATCACTTAAATTTTATAAACTAATTTTTTTGTTTTCTATTTAGGTTATTTTTAATATTTTTACTAGTTTTGGTTAATTTTTATCAATTTTCCATTAACTATGAGAGAAAAATCACGGGCTGTCTATTATCGTTAGCGTTCAAGTTTGACCCGAGCTGAATATTTAAGTATTTGGTAATCGGTAATTATGTCCATGAAAAAAAATGGGATAATATGGCGGAAGTAAAAATATGAATATACAGAGTAATTTTTTTATCGTGAACCAGCAATTATATCAGAGTATTTTAAGGGAATTCGGTTTCTGTTTTTTTTAATCATTGTGGAATTGTTCAAGCTTTGTTGCACAGTATTATGAGATTTACCGTTTATGTGTTATAACAGTTTAAAGTTTAGACCGGAGGAGTAGGGAAAGATAATAAATTGCCCATCTATTAACTCATAAACGGTAAATCTTATATTAGTGTTATACATACCAAAATTTCTAGAAAAATATTCTCTATTAACATCTGTGTTCAAAAGGGGAGGTTCCTATTTGAAAATTAAAATATGCGCTCATTTAAGGTACATGGAGTGGAGGGAAAAAATTAAAAACGGTTTTAAAATAAAGCTTAAACGACTCCACAATGATAAAAAAAAAAACAGAAATCAAATTCCCTTAAAATACTCTGAGATAATTACTGATTCATGATAAAAAAAATCACCCTGTATTTATAAATATAAATAAAAAACTAAATAATACAATTTTAATATTTTTCTAATCTAAATAGCAAATAACAAAATTATAATACAACATTTAATGACTTGTGAAATTGTGTAAAATCAATCATTCGAGTTAAAATATTATATGTACAGTTTTTAGAATTTCATGTCCCAGTCAATATTTCCATGAAATACATATTTTTTCATATTTAACATATTTTTTATGGCGTAGGGATAGTGGCGCGCCCATCGCCCAGCACATCAAAAAGTGTGTTGCAATAGCCCCACACTGACTTTAATTAGTTGGTGTGGACTGGCCCTCCGGGTTGGGGGTTGAGCGTAGGGCTAACAACCCTACCTCATAAAAAAAATAGATGTTAAGAAACAACAACATAATAAGCCTCGGATCAAAGATTTAACGGATATCAACATTGGAACCTGGAACGTGCGATCTTTGTATAGGGCTCCAGCTTTGACAACATCCCTATCGTGTCTTGAGCGATATGGGATGAATATAACTGCGATTCAAGAAGTGAGATGGACAAACTCAGGTAGCTTGAAATCTCAAGGAAATACATTATTATACAGTGGTGGAGATAAACATGAATACGGGGTAGGTTTCGTAATAAGGGATAACGCTGCGACAAATATAGTGAGGTTCCAACCAATAAGTGATCGGATATGCTACATAGAACTCAAATGTAAATGGTACAACATGTTCCTAATTAACTGTTATGCACCGACAGAAGATAAGAGTGATGATATAAAAAACAAATTTTATGAAGACTTAGACTTGGTGTGTAACACCCTACCGATTGGTAAGCCGAAAATAATACTAGGGGACTTCAATGCGAAGATTGGAAAGGAAAACATATACAAACCAACAATTGGATACGAAAGCCTTCACGAAATTACGAACGACAATGGAAACAAACTAATCACTTTTGCCACAACCAAAAATATGATAATAAGTAACACGTTCTTCCCTCATAAGAATATACACAAACAAACATTTATCTCCCCATGTGGGTTAGTAAGAAATCAAATAGATCACATGTTAGTGGACAACCGGATAAAATTATGTGTCAAAGATATAAGAAGCATGCGAGAGTGTAGTGCGATGTCGGACCATTTCCTCGTGAAAGCGAAAATCAAACTCAGAATATCAACAAAATGGAGAAAAAATAATAAGTACAAAGAAAAAATTAATAAGGATATACTGAAGACAACAACAGCTGAAGTGCACCAAGAAAAAATATCGATAAAATTACGAGATATACAAGAAATGGCGAACCTAAATGAAACCTGGGAAAAGGTAGAGCAAGCAATCAAAATAACAGCAAAGAAAGTACTTGGATATATACCAAAAAAAAACAAAGAAAAGATGGTTTAATGATGAATGTAAAGCTGCTCAAGAGGAAAAAGAAAAAGCAAGAACAAAAGTTTTACAGAACCCTAGTGAAGACAATAAAAGACTACTAGCACAAAAATAAAGGGATGCAATAAAGGTCATCAGAATGAATAAGAGGTTATGGGAAAAAGATCGGGTACACACCATAGAGAACAACAGGAATAACAACTCCAAAATATTTTTCGAAAAAGCAAATGAAGTTAAACGTGGATATCAAATTAGACCAACAGTTATGAAGAAGCATGATGGATCCTTACTAACGCAGAGTAAAGAAATTGCGAGTGAATTCAAAGATATGTTCGAAAAATTGTTAAACCAACCAAATGAAAATAACCCCATACTTTAATACTCTACTGTAGAACAGCAGCTTGAAAAACCATCAGAGGACAAAGTGAAGATGGGACTAGATATGCTAAAAAACGGGAAAGCACCGGGAGATGATGAAATAGTATATGAATGCCTAAAAACGGGAGGCCAAGGTCTACTGAACCAACTCCACAAACTTATGAACACAATCTGGGAACACGAGGAGATACTCGAAGCATGGCGTATATCCATCATATGCCCTATACACAAAAAAGGATGCATCATGGAATGTGAAAACTATAGAGGGATCTCACTACTCAATACTTCATATAAACTATTGTCCAACATACTACTGACTAGAATTAACCCATACATCAAAGAAATAATTGGAGAGTACCAAGCTGGTTTTAAGCTAAGAAAATCAACAATAGATCAAATACACATTGTAAAACAAGTTGTTGAGAAGAGTCACGAATACAATAAAGACACATATCTACTATTTGTTGACTTCAAAGCAGCGTATGACTCAATCAACAGAGACAAACTATGGGAAGTCATGGACCAGTTAGGAATACCAGCCAAGTTAACCAGATTAATAAAATCGTGTACGTATAATTCAAAAAGTAAAATTNCATAGAAATAAAAGACAATCAACATCTAACAGCAATTGCTTACGCGGATGATATAGTATTATTAGCCGGAACAGTTAATGACCTAAAAGACACAACAGATATATTGCTGAAGGAAGGGAAAAAAATTGGCCTAAAAATTAATGAGACAAAGACAAAATACATGATAGTATCTAGACAAAATCACAGATCGGATTTCTTGAAAGTAAATGAGTACACATTTGAAAGGGTAAGAAATTTTAAATACTTAGGTGCAGATATTAATGAAGATGCTACTAGCCACGAAGAAGTGAAAAGACGGCTCATCGCAGCAAACAGGTGTTACTTTGGACTATTATCATTGTTCAAATCAAAACTATTATCAAGGAAATCCAAAGTAACATTATATAAAGTTCTAGTCTGACCAATAGCTCTATATGCAAGCAGTACTTGGTCGACGACAAAGTCAGATGAAAAAAAGTTAGAAGTATTTGAGAGAAAGATATTTGGCCCAAAGAAAAACAATGAAGGAGAATATGAAATACGTAGCAATAAAAATTTAGAAGAATTATATAACGAAACCAATATTGTAGGGATCTTGAAAAGCGCACGAATAGGCTGGGTTGGACATGTATGGAGATCAAAAGGACTAATCGGACATATAACTGCATGGAAACCAAACGCAAAGAGGCCCAGAGGACGTCCTAGACAGAGATGGTCAGATAGAATAAAAAAAGACCTAAAGAGGTTGGGAGTAAGGAATGCTGAAGAAACGGCACAAAATAGAGAAGACTGGATACAATATGTTGTTGCGGTAATGGGCCTAAAAGGCCTGTAAATAGCCAGAGAAGAAGAAGAACATATTTTTTCAAAAACTGGCTTAATCAGACCTTCCTTGAAACATTTATTCGTTCCCAAGTAGTTTGAAAATCAAAAGGTGGTATATTCTAAACATCGGTTCAAGTTTTCTGGTAGAAAAGTTGTACACAAAGAGAAGAAAAACACCCATTATAGTAAAACCAAAGAGTTCCTCGCTAGGATCTGAATCTTACAAATATATTTAACAAAATTTAATATTAAAAACTATTCACTATAGAAAAACCTTTGATCACTTTCCAAGAAAACAAATAAATATTAATAATATTTTAATATCAATACATCAATCTTGTCTATATTCTGTGAAATATTTTTTTTTCTTACCGAGTGTGCGCCTATTATAAATTATAATTTGCATTAATATTTATATTGCCTAAGCATCCTATGATTTGCTCCTTTTATTTTTAATATTTACCTAAAATTTGTATAAGTACGACATGCTTTGTAAAAGAAAGAATAAAGTTTCAGTGTATTAGACTTACACACATCGATAACAAATTAACATACCTATATTATGATAATGCGCTTCCTTTTTTCAAGTGGGGACGTAGATGGACGAAAAATGTTGAATGTTAATCTTTTTTTCCTATCTAATATTGATTTTGATTATGTTTCGAATTGTATTTATGACTATAATTCTATATAGTAATTAGGAACATTTTAAAATGCAAATATATTAGGATCAATTATCAATGCACATAAAAACGAATTGATAATATTTTGTTACATATATGCATAATATTACGCTGAATTAATAAAATGTTAACAATAACTAACTATATTAATAATTATTTCAGTTGATTTCATTTTCTCGATACGCACATTGGATCACGTATTAGTGAACAATTTAAATGTTTTTAACGTGTACGGCGTTTTCTATATACCATTAAAATGGGTACTTATTCGCAATCGGTTTTATTGTTAAGTTTTCGTGCTCTAATTTGGGAGAGTGGAGTGCAAAAAAACTTCATGAAATGACATCGCAGCTCTGCATGGTCCGTTTTTCAAAGACCGAACCGGAATGATGAAAAAATATTAGGAATTTCGAAAATATTTCAAATCAGTCAAAATGACCATCAGTCAAAGAATCAGCATTTTTTAAAATATAAAATGAAAACTTTGAACCCTTTTTACTAAAAGTGAACCAAAAAAGTGTTTTCGAAAGTGAAAAAAATGCACATCCTGCATATCCACCAAATAAATACCAAGTAGCTTGTTCATTAAATTCAGAATCTAAAATGAAATTATATTATATTAAAACAAATGTTTATTTTTGAAATAACGAAAAGTATTGTTTCTATATAAGTCAATTAAATAAAAAGTAAAAATAAATTTCAAAAAAACTGTTATATTCATTTTTTTACGTATTTTATGATTAATGTGAATGAAATGAATTGTAACCGATAGAATACACACACAACACGGCCCGAACTCTAATACCAACCGGTTATTAATAATGGACGCAACATTAATAACACCGCGCTCAATTTAATACTAAGGCATAACAAATAAATACAACACGAGTGTTTTGAATCAACTATCAGTTAGCACGCACAGTTTTTATTTCGTTTTTTCAACAAATTCTAAATATATAATATACCGGTTTGTTTGAGTACGTACTTGGGTATAAAGGTGTAATATACACAATAACAACAATAATATTATTTACAGTATCTTCCCGCAAAGATACACACCGCTCACTCGCTTTACGATACCCTAGAATCCATCAAAATTGTCACGAATATTTTTCAACTAATCTGCTGCGATTTTCATGGCAATTTTTTTATAATTATTTGCACACACCCACTATAGTTATATTCTAGAAAACATTGTTGCTATTTAACAAAAAATACTCGCAAAATCGCTAAATTTTTACGACGTTTTCGAGTGTTTTATCATTTGCTAAATAAATACTACGTTTTTTTTTTTTTTTCCAGGACCAGTAACACAAACTATGCACAGTATTGTATTCGACTATGCGGTTTTTCTGCTGCTGATTGCGTTGTCATTCGCAGTACTCATCTACAGTAAGATATCCGGACCCAAGGAACAGACGAAAGCAGATTATGTGTTCGCTTCGAAGGGGTCGGTGTCGATGGGAGCGATGCTCCTATCCATCGCACGTGGTTTCCTCGGCGTCAAAGTTTTTCTGGGTAAATAACCAATCGCATAATATCTGATACACAGATATTGTTTTAGGCTTTTAGTCGTTTAAAATATAAACCAAATACACTGCTGTAGATTACATTCTTCTCCACCTTTTTAAACTTCTTAGGTTTTGTTTTCTATTCTCAATCTCTCTGTCCAAACTTTTTCGTAAATGTTTTTGAGACTTTGTCCCAACCAGTTTCTTGGTCTTTTCCCGTTTCTCTTTGACGTGACTTCTTAATGGTCCCATCATTTTCAACTTATTAAAAATGTAACTGTTTAAAAACTACATTTTTGCGTAGCTAAAACATATAACGCTATAACGTACTTTTCCGCAATGCTTACGCGCTTCGATGAAAAGTTCTTCGGTTAATTATCACTAAAATGAATAGGATAATTCATAAACACCATCATGCATCTATTTAAGTACCTATATACGATTATATATATAATTTTTTCATTACATGTGCTCTCGAAATTATGAGATACGAAACGCACCCTTGAACCAGTTACATATATTATTTTTAATTATGATCGATCGTGTATTGAAAATAAAAATGATCCTTTTAATACCTAATATATTATACCTTATCTAGAAATCCGTTGTAATAACAATAAAATTTATCGAATGTAATACTGTAATTCGTTCAGATAATATATAGCAAGTACCTATGTATAGCGAATTAACAAACTTGGATTGTATATCTTGATTTATGAACTGAAAATTATCTGATATTAATGATAAACAAGTTGTCAATTAAATTTTTGAAATTAGCAAAAAAAACTCTACAATGGTGCATATAGGCATAAGTATCATTTTAAATCTTTAAACATTAAAATCGATCTCGTCAACTTGAAATCTCAATTATTTTTTACAACTAGTTGGATTAGTTATTAAAAATAATCAACAGTTAGGTTAACATACAGTTAATACAAAAAGTACTTTTCTGCTACATGCAATCAAGACAAGGAATACTTGTTAAACTCGTACTTATATTACCTACAGATGTATTATTAAAACTGTAGTTATAAAAAAAAAAAACATTTTTAATGGTATAGACATTAAACTTTTGAAAAAAACAATAGAGACAGACAGAACAGGTTGGGACTCTTCGACCCTCGTATAAACCTACGTGTTGATCGGCACCTGTTATAATATTTTCGTCGAACAGCAGATAATACGAGTAGTAGTAATATATGTAATGTTCAAAAGGTATCAATGCGTGTAATAATCATTAGGACCGGAATTTATAAACATTAAAAATAATAACTCGCGTTTTTAAACACGTAGAAAAAAAATTACGCCATTTTTAATAAAACTGATCTACATTAGAATACAAAATACGTTCAGAATCTAACATATAGAACAAAGAATTTTTAATATATTTTTATAGCGATATAAGTGAAGTACGTTGTTTATACATATATAAGATAATCAAATAATAACGAAAAAAATACTTGAAAAGTCAAAGATTATAATATTGTAAATGTTCATGAAAATACAAACAAATTAATTTACTGAAAAATAAAAAAACCACTCCTGACTAGCGGAGTTCCCGCCCAGAGTCGAATTATCACACGTCTATTTTGTATTATTGAAATATTCTTGTAAAACAATAAATTAACTAATATTATCATCGCCTCGTTAGTTTTACGTTGACGGACAGACTAACAACTTACTAGTCGACTTACAACTTCACCTTACTTAATCGTTGTATCTGTATGCAATTATACGTGTTACCATGACACGCAGCAATATAGTCAAAATAATATTCCAACAAAAAATGTCAATGTACGAGAAATTTATGCGGATATAAAATATCCGGTGTCGCAATTTCCCCTTTTTACCCCCCACCCCCCACCCTCCTCCTTGACTACGGGTTTGAACTAGGACTATCGAAATTTTCAAATTTCTATATTTGCTAGTTATTATTATATTATATTAATAATAATTGTATACAACTTTTGTTGCTTTTCTCCCATACAGGATATCCATCTGAATTTTACTACAGAGGAAGCGGAATGTGGGAAACGCTGTACGGTATGTCCTTGGCGTTTCCGTTAGTCTTGTATTTTTTCCTACCGGTCTATTTTAACCTAGGAATCACTTCGGTTTATCAAGTAAGTTTTGAACAAACAAGAACAATATTATTGTTAGTATTTATAGTAAGTATACTTAGACAAAAAATCACACCGGTACATCAATTTCTCGTGACTTTATAATAAGTAGTGTAATATTATATGGTATCGACCTATATTTGAATCGATCACAAAAAATAAACTATTGGAAATATTAATTATTAATCAGCTATCCACGTTCTATACTAATTATTATTATAATAATTCAAATATTTAACACCTAAAATAAATACTGCCGATTTTCTCGAATCGACTACATTTTCTTCTACAAACATGAAGAAATACAACATAAACACAATAAAACATAGTATGATTTTTAACTGTTATCTTTTATTTTTCCTGGTATCGTATTTACTATTTATTTGTAAACCATTTGATTAAAATTATACTCTTAGGCCACAGGAATATGATTGCAGTATGTATAGTATCATAGTATTCATATTGGATAATGAGACATATCAAAAGTACAGTTAGGATTTGCATACCTAACCTACTCGAGTATTGTTTTAGAATATGATAATCTTTTATGTTATACTTATTACTTGAGGGTGGATTTTGGTTTTTGGGCAGTAGCAGTGGCGGCAGGGGTGCATTAAAGGGGGAGCAAAAATGGCATTTGACCTGGGCGGAAGTCTTTGGGGGACAGTACATTTTTTGGATTATTTTTTTTGGTTCAATTTTAAATATATTCAAATTCTGATTTTTGAAATTTGTAAGTGTAATTAACGGCTGAAGGCCGATATTTTCGAATACTTAGATTTTTCATAGCATTTAAGGAGTATCCTGTGGCGATGATAGGTTTTTCAAATGAGAACCTATATTAAAAATGCCATATATTGAAGGAATATTACGTTATGTAAATTTTAGTAAAAATGTTGGTAAAACATTGCAATCTTCTAATATTGATTTATCCATCGTAGTTCAATTGTATGAATCTTTGGAAAAATAGATCTTCGAAAGATATTCAATAACTTTATAAAAGATTCCCAAGAACTTAGCGGAAAGACTGCATGTTTTTTGGGAAGAACAAGAATAAAATACCTGTATACCTGTAAGCAACGATAAAACATTGCTTACGAAAAAAACCATACTGAACGGATTTCAGTTGATAGTGATGCTTTGTCAACAATATATATGCCATATTTTAGAAAAATTATTAAATAGGCTTTATAAATTTTCATTAATAATATTTGTTTAATATTGTACCTATTTTCCTATGTTTTTCCCGGTTCTCACGTGTTTTTTCCCGATTTATACATTTGCTGGGAAAACTCCTGAGAAAATCGAAAAATTACCTCTATAAAGTACCTCCCAAATCGGATTTCTTTTAGAAACATTTCTATCATTATAAATTGGAGCGAAATTGCTGGTAGTCAAACTATCCACAGGAAAAAAAACAATTTAAACTTTAACATTAAATGAAATTAAAAATTAACAATAAAATATTATTATCATATATATAATAAATATATACAGGATGTCCCACGAAGATATACCCCTTGGATATCTCCGGAGATAATCAAATTCTATTTTTTTTATATTACTCACAGAGAAGAGGACTAATTACAAATATTTATATTTAAATTAATTTTTTTATTTTTATATTAAAAAAATAACTTTATTTTATTATTTTCGGACTATCGCGTAACACGGTTAGGTTATATTCCCTAGATAACATCGGTTTTCACATAGATTAGTAGAATTTAAAATGATTGTTACTTAGAAACTATTTATCGGATATAAATCGAACATACGTTAAAATTTTCAGAAAATAATAAAATAAAGTTAATTTTTATAATTTTTTTAATAAAAAAAAAAATGAATTCAAATATAAATATTTGTAGTCAACCCTTTTCCCGGTGAGTAATATAAAAAGAAAACATAATTTCATTGTCTGGCTACACTAAACTACAAACCATAGCTATGAAAACTTTGTTTCCCTTCTTGTAATTGTATGTACCTAAATCTAATTGCATTGTAAATTGTAATCTTTTCGGTAAACATACAAGTATAACTAGTATTGATAATAATAGATATTAGATACTATTAAAATTATAGTTAAAAGAATCAATATTCTAATTTATACCCCTGCTTTTATTTTGTTTTGTACAGTACTTGGATATGCGATTCAAATCAAAAATGGTGAGAAGACTCGCGTCAGCCACGTATTACATCAGAAGTATACTCAACCTGGGCGTAACAGTTTTCACACCATGCGTCGCCTTAAAAACCGTGATGGGATTGCCGTATTGGTTTTCCATCGTTTTGATATCCTCGATAGCCATACTTTTCACAGTACTGGTAAGAACATAATAACATTTTGTCTGTATACTGTACATGTCCGTGAAGTTGGTCCTTCACTTTGTCCGATCTGTTTCAAATCGGTGTCATATTTTTGCAACTAATTTTTAACTTTTTACAACCTTTTTAAAAAAATTTTGAAACCTCATACTTTCACCAGAATCATTTGTTTTCATAAATGGGACCGCCCAACCACATACATTATGCATAAAATTATAAATTATTTTTTTACCTGCTAAATCGTCTGTATATATCGACAATGGGTTGATGGTAATCCTAAATTTCAATACCGAAATTTATGTTAATTAATACTCCATACATTTATGAAATTTTTAATATAGGTTGACATTTGAAAATTTTAAAATCAAAAGTAAGTAGTGATTTTATCCTCAAAAATAAGAGTGACAAAATATAACATAAATGTGAAATTATAGAGCTGCTAGTTTCTTAAATGTACTATAAAAAAAATGTATTTACATTAAACCATTCACAAGCATTTTTCAACTTCGGAGTTATAATTAAATTAATTCGGTAAATCGATTTAAATATATAATACTTTTAAAAAACACTTTTACACGTGGACCACTCGTATATTAACTTAAGCAAAATTTAAGTGAATTTAAGTTGCATTNATATAATACTTTTAAAAAACACTTTTACACGTGGACCACTCGTAGATTAACTTAAGCAAAATTTAAGTGAATTTAAGTTGCATTAAAGACTTTCTGCACAGGTGACAACTATATTATTTAATAATATTATCATTTAAACTGCAATAAAAGAAATATGGAGCGAATTAACAATTATGACGCAGGTATAATACCGTTAATTAAAATGCCTATATTTTAATATACCTGTATACTTAATATTTATAATCAATGCTAATACGTATTCTGATGATGAAACGTATCGACAAAGAAAAAAACAATTTTTCCTGGTGTAAAATTCTTCGCGTAATAATGATGATGCCTGAAGTATGTTGTGTATATAGTCAATTCGTATTCGAAATATATGATATTTTATCATATTAGTAAATAATGCAAATATATTATTATGTCCGATAAGAACAATATCGATAAGTAGGTACTCATCGTATTAATTTTTGTAAAAAGAAAATTGTAACACGTGACATAAAAACGTGTTTTTCTTGAAACATATAAAAATAAATATACTCGTGATTAATAAAATATAGGGATTAGTATATTTATTTCTTAATCCAACAAAACAAAAAAACTCTTGTAAAGTGAAAACGTGAATTATACCGAGTGATCAATTTAAGTAGGTACTCTTATTTTTAGGGGTATAACCACTACCTACTTTTGATTTTCAAATGGCAACCTATATTTAAAAATTCATAAATAGATGGAGTATTAATTAAAATAAATGTTATTGTCATATGATTCTTGTCAAACCGTTTACGAGATATTCTGCTTTTAAGTTTTGGTTGGAGGAGAGTAGTGGTGCATCATTAACACTCCGCGCGCCTTAACGCCGCACAAATAAAACTTCACTACTCAAAAATTTCTACAATAACATTTATTTTAACTAATACTCCATCTATTTATGGAATTTTTAATATCGATTACCATTTGAAAATCAAAATTAAGTAGCTGTTTCACCCCAAAAATTAGGGTGAAAATAAATAATGTAGATGTTAAATTTTAGAGCAACTTGTTTCTTAAAATTGCAAAAAAAAACAAAATAGAAAGTAAATACTTTCGGAGATATCGAATGTCCCCCTACTTGTAAATGGATCACTCTGTATATTAATATTAAAATACCTATTAATTATTATCTAATAGGTACTAAAAGTTAATATTTCTTTATACTAGTCGAAACTTGGTTATTTTATTTTATATAATGAACCAGCAATTTTCTTAGAGGATTTTAAATGAATTTGATTTCTGTTTTTTTTTTTTCAACCAATTTGGAATCGTTTAAGCTTTATTTTAAAACCATTTTTAATATTTGACCCATATACTCATATATATACATATATATGAGTACATATGGCTCCATATAATTTAAATATACTTTTGTTTTTCAAATAGAAACCCCCCCTTTTTTATTGACGCTTCTCTTCACGTTATCAAACCACACTTATTGAATTATATTTATTATAATATTTTTCAGGGAGGCTTGAGGTCCGCCATCCTCGCAGATGCTGTACAGAGTCTGGTGATGATCGGTTGCAGCATAGTGATCATATTTCACGGTTTCTTCATTGCCAAGGGTCCGTTGAACGTGTTCGAGGTAACCAAACAACGGGACCGCCTGGACTTTTTCAAGTTTGTATACACATATTTTGTATAATAGAATATAATGTACAATATTAACGCTATAGAGGTAGAAATTTTAATATTTTGAATACTTATTTGTTCTGAGTTCTGGCTCCATGTTATAATTGTACGGGCGAATGAGATAATATTTTTAATAAAAAAAAGAATTCATAATGAAATTGACTTTAAATAAATGAACTTGACATTAAACTACAAAAAAAAAAAGTTGCAGTTTTACTTGATATTATTTTTATTACTTTTATTATTACAATTTTTGGAATTATCTTGCTTTTTGCCCAGAATTGTATCGAATCACATTAAAACTTCTAAACGGATAAAAAGATTTGTCTAGTTACCACATAATACGAGGGTAATTTTCTCTATCAGAAATTATTATGAACATGAGTTTTGCTAAAAAATTAAGATTTCTGGTTATTGCACAAAACTATTCAATTCCGACCTATTAACTATTGAAAAAATATTATATATTCCTAGTAGCAGGCACAATTTTATTTTAACATCTTGTTTTCCGTTTTCAGCTTCGACTTGGATCCGACAATCCGGGTTTCAACCGTGTCCGCCACGCTCGGACAATTGTTCATGTCACTGTCAATGTTTGGCTGCCAACAAAATTTCGTGCAGCGCTACTTCAGCATGGACTCACAAAAACAAGTGGAAAAGTACGTTTTTCACTAAAAACAATTTTCCCGAACTCCATAAAATAATCCGTTTGTCATAAAACAGGGCGCTATGGCTGACCATACCACTGATGATATTCCTGTTCAGTCTATCGTGGATCGTCGGTATGGTCATTTTCACCGTGTATGCCGACTGCGATCCCCGTGCGCTCGGCTACATAACCGATATCGATGAGATCGTGCCATTTTACGTGGGCGACAGGTTCTACTTTTTGCCGGGTTTTATGGGGCTCGTACTAGCTAGTCTGTTCAACAGCGGCCTCAGGTATAATTAAATACAATTTAATTCTTTTGAGCGATAATTTAACCGACTTTGTTTACTCAAATATAATATGCACCAGACATCGGAACCTGTGGCGTGATTTCAGTTTTTGTTGGACTAGGCCCTAGTCTTTAGGGCGACCACTCACTGATTTTCCGACTAAACATTTTTTTTTTTTTTTTACGCAGATTTACTTAGTGTAACGCCATAAATAGTTGATGGGGGGGGGAGTAAATATTCAAGTACTTGAATATCACGCACAGAAATTTGACGTATTAAATATAAACAATTTAGACACACCTTGATTGTACAATAATATACTTTTTTTAACGATTGCAACAAAAAAAAAATTAATATAAATTATAATATACTTAATTTTAGATAAATTATTTATTTTTCAACAAAAATAAAAAAAAATGTATTTCGATTGTTATGAATAGATATATATAACTAAACTACCACAGGATAAACATTGTACCTTAGTATGTTTATGTTTTCGTTGATTGTTCATGATAATTAAATAAAATATCGATACTTCGTAAATAATTGCGTTGAATAATCTCGAATATTATGTAACCAGAAAAAAATACTCTAGTCGCTACCTAGGGATTAATCAAAATGGAAAATATGGAACATAATTACTTATTTATATTATAATGTATAAAATACGTTTAATTAGGTCTTATCTGATATGCGGGTATTGTAACGATTCGGGGGTTTGTACTATTCTACAAATTTAATAATAATTCTTACTTAGCAGTGTGCTAGTGTGTAATTATGATTAAAATTTAAATGAGTGTGTGTGTTATCTATAACCGTGACTCAGACGCGGCGGCCGGTCGGTTACCAGTAATTAATACATAAAATAATTGCATTGTTTGTTTACCAAACATCAATATTATGTCAATTGCCTGATAAGTTAAAAATAAGACTTGTTAAAAT